CAGGAAGAAAAAATAACATTTCTTGAAAGTGTAAGAAATATAGAGAAGTAGGAGATATGTTATGTCTTGAGGGAGACAAAAGGTTACAACAGAAAGTCTTTCATAGTGGATGGGAACCCCTCATCATTTATAACAGAGAAAAGAAAACTTATGGTAGGGAAAAGGGAAATGAATAGATTGGCAGGCATGCAACAAGCCACTTAAAAGACATTTTATTTTACTTTCCCCTTAAAACAATCCTTTGATTTACATGAACAAATTCCTACCACTGCCTTCCTGAAATGTAACAGTTATTAATCTATGAATTTGATTTATTCACATACTTTGGGGAAAAAATTTTAAAGGCTAAATTTAAAGTCTTTTGCATGTCACTATTTAAGTGTGAAATCCATGTTTAAAGCATGATGGCATCAAAGAACGTTTACTCTAGTCACTCCTGCACCACTATGGGACTGAGCAAGTGATCTGGGCCTCAGTTTCTTCAGCTGTAAAGGGAGGAGAATGTATTAGATGATTCATTTATTTTTCCATGACTTATTAAATTTCCACCGTCTTCTAGGTGCCATGCTGGGTGTCTAGGCTATAATAACGTGGTCCTACCAGCTCTAATTTCAACGATTCCCTTAACAAATTTCACAAAGTGTGATTGGAACAAGCTTGCCTTTATACTAACACTTCTTTCCATTTTGAAACAATTATAAAAATAGAAAATCTTACAATGAACCCTTTTTAAGAATTTAAATTTTCATGAAATTTACAAAATGTATAAAATCAAATGTCAAATGCCAACTAAAGCATTTTCCAGAAATTGTGGTGGGGGGGAAAGATAATGTCATGCAAATACATTTTTAAGTAGGGAAGCAATTCACAATTAACTCGAGAACATTTTATTCCTAATTCCCGCCCCTCAACTCTACTTCAGCAGCTAATCAACATATTTATTGAACATCTGCAATTTGGAAAACAGTGTGCTGGATGTTACAGGAAATGCCTGGAAGCATAAAATTCAGCTTCTAGCTTCAACAAGTGTATTTACGTTGGAGAAACACGACTGTAAAGTACCTGGCTGACTCTTTTTAAAAGGTGCACTATATATCCGGCTGAGAGAGACTTCCTTCAGAGCAATCATCTGAGAGTTTTTACATTTACTCCAACATCACTTCATTACGCAAAACACTTTGGGGACTGTGCTTTCAGAATTGACTTTAGATCTTGCAATACATCTTTTCACTGTTTCCTTAGTGGCAAATATTCACCTTTGGGGGATGATTTTTGTTCGTAGACACAGCCAAAGTCATCTGGAGCCTATAAATTCTTACATTTACATGGAAGGAGGGAGGATTGTTAGTACTAGTAATAGTAGAGGTAGTAGTAGCAGCCGTCTTCATAACAGCATTGGAAATAGTCATAGCAAAGCCCTATAGTTTTTTATTATGTGCCAGGTACTGTTCTAAGCACCTAGATAGTTAATTCCTTTTGGACAAGTCTATGAATTAAGCACAACTGTTATCATCATTTTATAGCTGAGGAAACTAAAGTACAGAAAGGTTAGTTAACTTACCCAGGAATACAAAGAAAGTAAGTGGGATTTTTTTAATTTTATTTTTTTAGTAACCATTTCACTACTCCAAAGGCCTGGTGGCAGAGGGGCAGAGACTTCTTGCTTGGAATAGGATCTGGGGGCAGTTCCCCAGGAGAACACCCCCTCCTTTCAAACACCTCTTCTAAACACTTGAAGCAGTGTTGGGGTAAGTGTTCACTCTCCTTTGGTTTTAAAAGGCAAAATCTCCTCAGCATAAAAAAATTTTCATTTAGTCTTAAAATATATTTTTGTTACTTTATAGTGTTAAAAGACAAACTGAAGCAAATTAAAAATGTTAAAAAGAGTTTTTTTGAGCAAAAATCGATTCAAATAGGCCCCATCAAACAGGAAGTGGTGAGGAGCGCTCCACTGACAGGAGCTCAGGGAGAGACCATTATAGAGACGAGGCAAAGCAAAGCAAGGAAATTGTTGATTGGCTGTAGCTTCCACCCAGCTGGCTGTTTGTGACTGATTGCCCTTGGGTTTCTATGTTGTACCTTTCAGGCATTCACAGGCTTAGATTTGAGTTTGCTTCCATAGGCCACCATAGCATTAGAGCCACCTCAGTCAATGGCCTCCTGCTTTAATTAATTTAACATTGATGTATCTTAAACGCACAAAAATATACACAGTTATGAGTTAGTACATGGCTTGGAATAAATGCGGGAAGCACTTACTGCCAACAGAAAAACAAAGGTGGTCATGAGAAAAACCATAGAGGAAGAGACCTTGGCTTTGCAAAACCTTACTGCCAAGATACACATACTAAGAACAGTTGTTTTAATCTTCCAGCTTGGTTTACCTAATCAAATATTTATGATTTTTAAAATTTTATTTCTTTTCTTTTTTTATTTTTCAATTACAGTTTTAAATGTCTTTATTTACCTATAATGATTTAGGGAAAAGAATACAAGACCAAGTCTTGAATGCCTGATATTACATAATATATACAAACTCCTTTAATTCTGAAAAAGAAATTAAATTAATATATTAGACATGACAATTTTACCTCCAAGTACAGTTATTATTGAATCTATTTATTATACTCCCTTTTAGCTCTATAAGCTTGGGTCTCCAATGGCACTGTTAGGTAGGTTAACAGTTATACATTTTTAATAGCTTTGGAATAAACAAAAGTAGGCAAACTCACAAAAAAGTCTTTTTTAATTTGCCTATAACTGAGCAGAGAGAACACTAAATTCAAGTCCTTCTAATTAAGTTAGTGACTATTCTTCTCTTTCTCTTTTTTATTTCTGTTTGCTGTTGTTATTATTTGCTTGCTTGCTTCTTTGTTTAACTTGTACACTAAATGTAAGGCTATGTTCATCCTCAGCCATGATGAGCCAACTCAATCTAGTGAACAAAAAACAGAGGTCTGAAATCCAGAACTGAATTCTAGCTTGGTTCTGACGAGAATTACTATGTAATCATCAGCAAAGTTCTTAACATCTCTCACCTTAGTTATTAATGGAAATGAAAGTCAAGGCAAATTATAGAATAATCAGAATGGGGAGGGAAAGGATATCATGGACTGAAATTATAAAAGTAGAGGAGTGACTAAGTAGAAACACAACATAAATATGGAGGAAGAAGCAAAAAGTAAAAGCAAGAAAACTACAAAGAAATCAAAATGAAGAAAACAAGTGGGCTTATTGCAGAACAGTTAAAGTTGAAGCAAGGAGGAGGAAGATCTAAAAGAGAAAGAGCGGCATGAGGTGGGGGGAGGAGGCAGAAGAGAAATGGAAGGAGGAGAAAGATAGGAAGGATGAAGAAAAGGAGAATAAAAAGAAGGAGGTAGAGAAGAATGAGAAGGAGGGAGAGAAAGATGAGGAAAGAAAAAGAAAGCACGTGGCTATCCTTCAGTAGAATATAGATTATAAAAATATGGCTTATACCTGCAATGAAATAGTATGCAGACTAATAGAGATGGTGAATAACTATATATTTCCACAAGTAAAGATGTCCAAAACATAGTGCCAAGGTAAAATAACATTATAAAACAGCATGTCTGTTGGGTACCTTTTTGTAAAATAATAATTATTATCCTATATAATAAAACCCTAATATGCAAATTGACCAAACAGTGGAACAACTGGTCACTATGATGCACACTGACCATCACGGGGCAGACGCTCAATGCAGGAGCTGCCCCCTGGTAGTCAATGGGCTCCCACAGGGGGAGCGCTGCTCAGCCAGAAGCCGGGCTCATGGACTGTGAGAGGGCACAGGCTGGGCTGAGGGACCCCTTGCCCCCCAGTGCATGAATGTTGTGCACTGGGCCTCTAGTAATTTTATAATGGTCTCAGGGAAAATATATTTGGAATGAAGCATACAAAAATGCTCAGCATGGTTCTCCCTGGGAGACAGTGCTATGAATAATCCCTGTTTGTGTGTGGTTTTATATTTTATGGGTGTCCTGGATTTTTTTTGCACTTATTATATATTATTTTAATATTCAGAACACAAAACATTAAAGCCATGGGGTAAGAATCAGCAAGAGGAAAAATGAATTTGTGATGACTCAGGAGTTATTATCAGCAACAAACAAGGTAAAGCTGGAGAAGCAGGCTGCCTGTGGGCTTGATCTGAATTGAAAAGAGAATGTATTACGTAACTTTTTTGTAGGGTTAATGTTGCAAATTCAGCACGATCACAATCAGACCTCATCTGCATTGGGGGAGGCAAGATGAGTCATTATTAATGAAAATGTTTTTATGGTTTATTGTCTATAAGTTTTATCAGTAAGAAGATAAAAGCAAACAAACATTACAGGTAAATATTAAATTCCCAATTCCATATTCCATGCTGAAAGAATTTTGCCGAGTAAGAGCTCTGAAAAAAAAAAGAGAAAAGCCAAAAATGAAAGTAGCACCCACCAAAAAACACAATGAAGATGGCAAAAGGAAGTATAAATGACAACAAAAGATGAAAGTTATATGCAAAAAAAAAAACCATAAAATTTATGCCTGTGAAGGATAACCTAATGAAACATAAGTACAAATAATGTCATAAGAATCTGCAAATAAAGATAGATAGGTGAGATTTAAGGAAAGGAGCACTGAATGCAAGATAGCTTAATGATTAAAGGGTATGTTTGTGCCTTCTTATATTAGCTCCCCCAAAAAACAAAATACATAGGTGTAAATCCAACAAAATATGTACAAAATCTATATAAGGAAAAGCATAAACCTATGATAAAAGAAAAACTAAATAAATGGAGAGATATTCCATTCTTATGGATTGGAAGACTCAATATTGTCAGCATGTCAGTTCTTCCCAATTTGATCTATAATTCAGTGAAATCTCAATCAAAACCTTACCAAGTTATTTTGTGGATATTTTGTGATTCTAAAGTGTCTATGGAAAGACCGAAAATCTAGAATAGCCAAC